AACAACAGTTTGAGAAACAGAATTCTGAGAACCCTTTGTTATGTTTTAAAATTATATTTGGAAAAGATTGTAAAGATAAGACCGGTATATTTTATATAAATAAGGAAAACCTGACCCAAAACAGGTATAGTTTCCCTTTAAAGCAGAACTAAATTTGTGATGGGGTGAACTCTACACAGCACAGCACACTTCCTGCTGTGCTGTCCTGTCCTCCAGCAATGATGGGTCCAAGATTCAGGAGCTGTTGTGTCCCCCACAACGCTACTTCTAAACCACAAGGTGTCTACTAACAATGTAACAATGTACACAGTCATATTGTCCCCGGCGGCCACCTCAGACTGCTTTTCGCTAAAAGCAAAAAACTTTATTAGCTGCTTTGACACACACAAAATGTGAAACAAACCTTCACAAAGGACTCTTTTTGCCATGGCAGCATCTCGGTGTGAACTGTATTTCAAGACTGCAAGATTTTTCGTCTCTAGGGTTGGACTTGCGAAAAGAGACACTTTCTCCAGATTAGAAGTCATTTCACACAGGACACGGGTCAGGACAACTCTATCCAGGACACATGGCAGGCCATCCAGCTCCAGGTTACATTTTTCAACGCTTCTGAAGACTCCAATCCTGCAGCCAGGTAGAATCTCATATCCATTAAACCTTGAGATGGCCAGCTCTGCACCATGCACAGTGGCATATCGGGCAAAACCAAACCCACGATTAAATCCACTGAAGGCCATCATAAGACGAAACTCATACAATATTCCAGCAGCCTGAAAAAGTGGAATTATTTTATCTTCATAGATTTCTTGTGGAATTTTGTTGATAAATATCTCGGTCCCAAATGGAGGGGCCTCTCCAACCCAACCTGCAAATATAAATGTGTTATTACAGAAATTTATATTTTTCTGTATCTGTGTGTGGCTCGTCCAGCCACTTCCATCTACAAACACTTGTTCCAACACTGGCTGCCTGTCATTTCTCACCGCAGGCTTCCTGATCATTACAATGGGGGAGCATGCATGAGGACTGAGCGTTGTTCAGGCACTTCCCATTATAGGGTAACAAAAAAGGTATTATGAATGCTGTAGATGGACACATTTTATCAACATGAGATAGGTCAAGAGATTATATATGAATTTGGTTTTTAGTGACTAGGTTTAGATCTACTCTAATGCAATGTTTTAAATGTACAGCTTTCATTAAAATAATTCCTGGTGATCCTCCAATAAGTGACCACACACACACACACTTTTTTCAGCGACAGCCAAAAATCTGCTTTTTTTAGGCCAGCAATGGTAACCCAATTATTTCTCTCAATATAGGTTTCCTTTAACAACATTCTTTGCTAAATTTTGTAATCTATAAAAGTCAAAAGGTCTCAAAAAGATGGGAATATCCTTTGAGGGGAACTTGTACTGACATATGTGGACTGCCCATGTGATTTGTCTAGGTAGCAGCAATACAATAGGCCCAACGAGCAGACACTAGAAAGTGCAAGTGACAACTCAGGAGTTAAAGCAAACCTTTACCAATTTCTGTAAAATAACAAAACACCTTTAACCCCTTCGTGACTGTCTATCACATGTGATAGCAGTCAAAGTAAAAAAAAGTTTTTAAAATTAAAATAAAATAAAAAAGTTTTTAAAATTAAAATAAAATAAAAAATATTTAAAAGTCCCCCGCCCCTGCGAGCACGCGTGTCGCCACGTAAACACGCGTCGGGTGCGCCTACGTATGAAAACGGCGAACGCGCTACACGTTGGGTATCGCCGCGCACGCCGGAGTGAGCAATAATTCTAGGGCATCTCTAAATTGATGACCTGTGGGGGCTTTTTATGGACTTTTTGGGGTACTGGGGTTTTTCACCGTTTTACGGATGCACGCAATTTGTAACCTGGGCATGTTGGGTATCGTTTTACTCGTTGTAACCTCATCTTTTATATTTCATTAAAAAAATGGGTATTTTGTTGTGTTTTGGGGCATTTAATTAAATTTTTCACTAAATATTGGGGTTTAATAAGGAGTTGCGCTAATATTGCGCAACATAAAAATTTGCAACTACCACCATTTTATTCTATAGGGTCTTGGCATTCAGAAAATATATAATGTTGGGGGGTTTTAAGTAATTTTCAGGCCTAAAATGTGGAATACAACATGGGTACAAAAAAAATGAAAAAAAGGCCTCAGTCATGAAGGGGTTAAAAAAAGTTTAGTAATGGCGATAAGTAATGGCAGTGTACAAACACATACTTCTAGATAATTGCATGCCTCATTGATTCCCCAGTCTATCAGTGGCCAGGTTGCTTAGATCTCCCTTCAGTTCCTTGATTTCTGGCACATGTCACTAGGACATATGGCCATGCACATCTCAGGAGGGAGGAAAGACTCAGGAAGAGATTTCCCAGCAATGCTCTGCTGACAATGCAATCCCAGTGTGCATTGCTTTGGCAAACTGAAGTCATTTTGTCCTTTCAAAAGCAGGAAGTGACTGCTCTGCAAGTAAGTATTTAAAAAAAAAAAAAAAAATCACAGCATTTCATATCTGACATGTCTGTTATTATTAATCAAGGGATGCATTGGTAGAATTTAATTGAGTGTAAAGGTCAGTTTTAAGTCTTAAAAATGCATTCAAGTACCTGAACTATTAAGAATTATTTGTGTATAACTCAGCTGTAGATCATCAAATCTGAATTGGCGCTGACATTTTTCCTCCTTCTGGAGGGTGGCTACTTTTGTTCCCTACGGTCCCTGTGTGTTCTAAAGTAGCCACCGCTCCAAGCTCACTCTCATGATGGACTACAACCTTGATACAAATTGGTAAACTAAACCTGAGAGTGTAGTCCATCACAGGAGTGAGCTTGGAGTGGCGAATACTTTACAACACACACAGGGACCATGGGGAACAAAAGTAGCCACCCTCCAGAAGGAAGGACAGTGTCAGATGATGAGGATCTCCAGCTGAGTGCCACACAAATAAGCTACATTTTTATCAATAGTTAATGTACATGAATTAGGAGGTGCACCGAAATGAATTTTTTAAAAACAAAAACGTCAGGCAGAACCCTCCATGTTTTTTTTCTAACTCTTTCAAAATATATTTATTAAATATTTTTATTTTATTAGGGGCTTCGGGGAAATATTGGGGGTCTAAACGGACCCCTGATATTTCCCTTTTAAAATAGAAAAAGAGATTTGAGAACCCGGAGCCCTCAATCTCTTTCTGCATCCCAATTTATCAATGAACAGGAATCCTCTATACTGAGTGTTCTTGTTCATTCAGAACATGGAGGACAAAGTATGGTCAATATATCCACAATCATGAATGAACAAGAGGTGATGTTGATCGCTTCCCATTCATCATTCCCATTCATTATTGAGGATATAGTAACCATACTCTGTCCTCAATTTACAAACACTCAGCGATCACTGAGTGTTTTGTACCTCGCTCTCCATCCTGACAGCTGTCACAGGAGACTGAGCGAGCGGTGCTAGAGGAGAGCTCAGCCTCATGTGACAGCACCATCTCCGCCCCCCCACTGCTCTGTGACAGGAGGCTGAGCGAGCGGTGCTAGAGGAGAGCTCAGCCTCATGTGACAGCACTGGCTGTCTACACCTACATTGCTCTGGGACAGGAGGCTGAGTGGTGTGTGAGGAGAGACGCCGGCTGCTCGCAGCGCTCAGCTGCCTGTAACAGTTTCTCTCCTCCCTGCTGGGACACAGAGCAGCGCCCAGCGGGGAGGAGAGAAATCACGGATGCACCACTGTATCTGCCAGCTAATGGCACTTTTGGCTAAATGCCAAAAGTGCCATTTTCGCCGATATTTTTCGGCGCATCCCTAACATGAATGCATTTTTTGTAATAAACCTAATATATCATTAAATTATTTTTCCAAACGGAAGCACTGTGGGCACCTGAATTTCAAGTAGTATTTAAAGTAGTATCAAGCCTTCTGTATTCCCTGTACAGCAGAGTTCAGACTGGGGGAGATAGAAGCAGCACAATGAGCTGGTTGTTCTGCAGAGAGATGGGCTCATTAATTTACCCTTTCTTCTGTCACTGTCCCTTTCAGGTGGGAAGGATATCTTGATTGTTCCCAAATCTGGATGATTCAAAGTTTGTACCAAACCTGGTCTGAACAAGGAAGTGACATGGGTATCCCCACCAAATCAGCTGTTGTGCAGGCATTCCCCCTCTACAGCTGCATGTTAGCAGGAAGCTTACGCTGATGTCAACCATATCAGGTAAATGTATCTAATATAGTCATGCAGCCATATAAGGTCCTTGATGTCACCGCATCCCATTCCTTTGCGTATGTCATACTGTAGGTAAGGAATTCCCCACCAGCAGCTGATTGGGTGGCATGGAAGGATCTAATTGTGTAATATGGCTGAGCGGTGTATATCCTGTAACTGGATGGACAGAAAAAGAAATGCATTAGGCATATAATGTAGTTACATAGTATTTGAGGTTGAATAAAGACACAGGTCCATCAAGTTCAACCTATTGCGTGTGTGTATGCGATTCTGCATGTGTATGCGTGTGTAATAGTGTCCCTGTAAATAGCTCCCATTTATGCAATTAATCTGGAATTCAGCTTTAAGCATCCCCCCCACCCCTGCATAACTATTCTGGCCCCTTCAAACCATTTTCAAGGGTGATTATTCATACCTTCAGGAGGGCCACCATATTTTCTCTGACCATTCACCTGTACAAGATTAATATTGCAGCTTTTACTCCATTCCACAAGTGATGTTTTATGGTGTTTATTTAGTGAATTGAACCAAGCCTGCGTAAAAGAAAAAAAAAAAATGCATATCAGATACTTGCGGCATGCTGTGCAAACTAGATTCATATACAGCCATGAGGACAAAGCCTTCTTACTATTCCTAGAACCCCTAACGTGGTACTATGGGCATAACATGTTATATACAGCTCGTAACCAAGTTTGTTTTTCCCCGTAACAGTTTTGATACCCGTTGATCCGGCCACTAGATATTTGATCACTTCCTGTAACAGCTGTCCAGCAAGTTTGGGACACACTGGTTGGGGTGCTTACAGCCATCAACTTTTAGTCATATTCAAACTATGCAGTTTGGTCACAGAATGCTGCAAATGTGTCCAAAATGAGAAGAAATTTAGAACATGAAGAAACTGCCAAGCTAATAACATACGGTTGTAGCGCTCATTTGATGCACCTCCTAGCCAAAGATTTGTGTAGCTCCACAAGATGTTGGATGGAACTCTGTAGTGGACTGTTTTGGAACAATATATGAAAAAAAAAACTGGCCTATTCTGATGACCGTTTGTGAGCAAAATCGAGGAGGAAAAAACAAAAAACAAAAAAAAAAAACCACCATCACAGCCAAGATCCTCAACATTGGGCTTAGAGAAATGTTGATCATATGCGGAGCATCCCGATACCAGTTTCTGAAGCTTTAAACAAAATCCAGGAAGTGAGCACTTAACAGAAATTAGAAAAAAAAAAGACAAACAGCGCTCTCGGATGGGGCCCTAGGAACGGATAGCCAACTAAAAAGATGCAGCCCTGGGAGACAGGAGGAGAACCTGTGAATGCAAAAACAAAGGAACACAAAGGGAGCAAAGACAATGGAGCACTAGCTAACTAGGCAGACCCTAGCAAAATAATGTCTGTATAAACACTTAGATGTAGGTCCAGGGACCAGAGGAGGGACGGCCTGTATGGAGGATTGGGACACCAGTGGTGTGTGCCCGAATCTGGCTGGTATGCTGCCTGAAGAAGTTTATCCACAGGTGGGAGGAAAAGGCTGTGAGCGAGGAGAGGGGAAGCAGAGCGGGGACTCCACAGTCCGTGACACCGCTGTATGAATGAGGGATCTGAGCGGTGTGAAAGACTCAGCGGTGTTGGGTGCAGGCTCGGATAGTAAACGCATTGCTCTTCTCCCCCCTCAATAACCTCCATCCCACCACCATCACGGATCTGATCGCCTGTCGGCATTCCCGCACACCGACTCCCGTACACCGCTCCAGACAGAGACCGAGCACTGACATCCACAGCAGCATAGCCTGCACCCAACACCGCTGAGTCTCTTTCACACCGCTCAGATCCCTCATTCATACAGCGATGTCACGGACTGCGGAGTCCCAACTCCGCTTCCCCTCTCCTCGCTCACAGCCTTTTCCTCCCTCCCGTGGACGAACTTCTTCAGGCAGCATACCAGCCAGATTCGGGCACACACCACTGGTGTCCCAATCCTCCATACAGGCCGTCCCTCCTCTGGTCCCTGGACCTACATGTAAGTGTTTATTATACAGACATTTTCTTGCTAGGGTCTGCCAAGTTAGCTAGTGCGCCATTGTCTTTGCTCCCTTTGTTTTTGTATAAACAGAAATTACAAGATTTAAAAAAGCGAATGGGACAAGCACTGTCTCCAGCTCATTATCTTGCAAACATTATCAATATACGGTACCAAGGGTCAAACCTTAAAGTGACAAAGGCGAACATTTTTTTCCCTCACCCAATGTTAATGATGTCTCTTAATCCGATGTTTCCCGTCATTTTCAGCCTCCTCTCCAGCGGGTCTCCGATCCAGCGCCGACTCCTCTGTCCTTGCTGCACTTCCTGTCCCAGTGTCTGCATGCGGGTGCACGCCGTCCATAGACTTACCTTGCGTCTCGTCTCCCGGACGAAAATCCAAACTGCGCATGCGCCCGCCCCAAGATGCTTTGCGCCCAAGAATTTTCAGATTTGACGGGAGCGCGTGGCGAAGACACAGGTAAGTTTAAACCGCTTTTAAAGCGTTTTTTTTTACTTTTTGCATATCTACTGCGTGCTATCATTAGATATATGCAGAAAAACGTGCGGGTTTAGAAACCCTTTAAGTGCTGAAGAAGAGGAGTTAGCCATGACATGGGTATCCCGCAATCATCCATCTCTACTGCCAACTAACGTTTTAAAGAACGTTTCACCAGTGAACTGGTGAGAGTCAGTGTCGCTTAAGCACTTGGATTCAGAAAGTGTTGAAGTAATGATTTCACTTTAACTGCAGTTGCCTCTTCTGCTGGCATTGAAGGAATATTCTCTTCTGGACTTGTTGACTTTAAGGCCCCGTTCACACTGAGCGATTTATCGCGCGGTAATTCCCGCGATATCGCGGCTATTTACCGCGCGGTAATTCCCGCGATATCGCGGCTATTTACCGCGCGATATCGCTCTCCAATGCTTGGCAGTGGGGCAAAGGGTCCTGCTGTCGCAGGTCGTGCGTCGCTACAGCAGGACCCTTTTTGGAGCGGATTTTGCCGCGATTCTAGCTTGCTCAATGCGACAAATTGCAAATTGCGCAACAAACGCGCGATTTGCAAATCACGCAGTGTGAATGGGGCCCAAATTGAGAAATCTGGAGCCTGATAAAGCTGGAAAGCTTGTTTTTCTTTAGCAGATCATGAACAAAGAGCGAAGATGAAACATGAGTGAGCTGCAGAAGACAGTGGTTGGAGGTTTTGTTTATGTGGACCCGGCTGATATATTCACTTTCAGATCTTTTGTTTGTTTTTTTCAAAGATATTTTGTTTATGCACTTCAGTTACTAAACACTGATGTTTAAGCAAATACAAGAATATGCAACATAATGTTGTTTTTGTTAAAAGAATTTGGAGTAGTTCTCCAACTATGTGTGATTAACCCATTAACCTAAAATCGGTTCCGATATCGCTGTTTTACTAACCCGACAGCTTATTATTCTAAAATAGGAAACCTTCATTTTGTTTGCAAATAATAATATTAAAGCTTCTTACTACCAGCAAGAATGAGTCCTTACATTTAAAGAGCACTTAGCGGGCATCCACTGACCTGCTGCCTACCACGTCCCTCACCTTGTTGGGTCACTGCAGCATCACCACCCATCCCATTAAAGTGAATGGGACTGTCGGTGAGTCAACAGCGGGTCAGAGGAGGAGCTGCTGCGGGACAGAGATGACAGTTGACCTTTAAAAATCATGATAAAAAAAAAAAAAAGGAGAAACTATGGGGTTAAGTCTTTTTCCCATAGTTCTCCTAAGGGCAACGGGAGGACACAAACTAGCGTCCTCCCATCACCCTAAGCTCAGTATACCACGAGCTGTAGCTCGCGGTATACTGAGACGCCGCAGCTGAAGCGGATCCCGACAATTATGTCTGGATCCGCCTAGCTGCTAGAGGCAGAGCCAGCTGTACCCGTCCCCTCCCCGTCCGTTCCGCCAGTCAGCGCTGGCGGATCGGAGCGGGGAGGGGGGAATCCAGCCCCTCCCCTGTCACGGCAGAGAGCCGTGACAGGATCGAGAGGTGAGCGAACCCGGTATGTGTTCCCTCACCTTCCGATCTACTGAGCCGATCTGTGACAGTCTCATTGTCACACGTCGGCTAGAACTATGAGGTGAGTGAAAAGCACTCACCTCATAGTTCTCCTTTAAATTAAGTTGACTTAAATCAAATCCACCCTGCTTTTGCTCTTTGTACTTCTGTGTTGTTAGGTGGCATGTGTTTGTCTGTCCTTCAGAGGTGGACCCATTCAGTGCTGGCCTCTCCTATAGATGGGTCATGCCCGGCGATTCACCCTGTAATACTGTTTGTTTATGTGGTCAGTTTTTTTAGTCAGGAAATGCGTTAAGGGCGGAGCCGAGAACGATTGAACAGACCAACGGAAGTTAGTTTGCATGTTTATATTACATGTTACAGTATCCGATACGTATTGAATATATAGATCCTAAAATGGGCTTTGTGTGTTCCAGGACGTCTGCATGCGTTTTGGTGCGTTCCAGAGCTGAAATGGGCATGCTGCAGTTTACACATGCTCTGGGACTATACATTGATTTTGATGCGTTCCATAGCTGCTCTGCTGCGCACTTGGTGTGAATAAGCCCTAAGACGGGTATTTCCAGCCTCGCTTCCCCTCCTCTGCAATGGTCTAACGTCCCATAAATCATCAAGTTCTATACACGAGGGGGGGGGGGGCAAAACTGGAGCAGACAAAATATGGAGGAGCTGGGCATGGCAACCAGCTTCTCTCTTCAGTTAAGGTTTAAAAGTGAAAGAAGGAGAGAAGCTGATTGGTTTAAATGCACAGCAGCTTCAGTTTTGATAAATTCCTCTTACTGTGTAAAGACACGAGGGGGCTGAGCAACATTCCAATGGTGCAGCATAGGAGGAAAGAGGCTTCTGAGACCAGAGAAGCCGTTGTTCCTCACCGGAAAGGTCTCAGGCAGTGTCGGCTGAACGCACAAGCGCAGAACAGTTGAGCGCAGAACAGAACAGTTGATCAGGTCCAAAATTTTTCACAGGCGGTTTGCGCATGTGCAGGTTAGCCAATGGGTACAGAAAATTCACAGGCGAGGCGCCTGCAGACACATTTAAAATAATAAGAAATATTTTAAACTTTGTGTCTGCAGGCACCTCGCCTGTGAATTTTCTGGACCCATTGGCTTCCCAGCGCAATACAGGCAAATAGCCTGAAAAAAATCTGGACCTTATCAGCCGACTTAACATTTACTGTGCCCATCAGCTTGCACGTTCACCCCACGCCAGATAACGCCACCTCCCAAAAGCGGCGTGCAAGTCCAGATTTGTCACCGGTCCAGGATTCTACCAGAACACCAACATGGCGGCTCAGGCAAGTAAAACTTTTGTCTTTTTAGCACCTAGACACAAAGGAGCAGTTAACCCTTGCCGTTCAGGGGAAGCCCCACTACAGGGGTTAATAAAAAAAAAACTTAGCCCAGAGTTCTTGAAATAATCCCACTGTGCAGGGCATGCTGGGAATTGTAGTTGTAATGCAGGGAAAGCACCAGGTGTCTGACTTCCACACACACCTAGAAAAGCCACATAGATCGATGAGCTGCATTGAGTACACACAGACCCTCAGATCTGCTCTCCACAATCGGATACAATAACCGGCCACCATGACCTACACAGCTTCTAGGACGGACCAGCTTTCATTACCCAGGAGGGTCTACTAAACGTGATCTGAGCCCACCTATCAGGGGGACACCGGGGAATAGACGGGGCTGGGAAAGTTGTTGGCTGATCAGCCTCTGCCATGATCTCAGTAAATACCTCGCTATCATCGGTGATCACATCGTCCATCATTGCAAGCCGCTCCGCTTTATCCATCTGATCCGAGAGCGTGTACCGAGCACTACATGAATTCACCAGCGCGGGCTACTGCCCATATATGGTCATCATCCAATCACAGAGCTGCTCTGCCCCTGACGTTCTCCTGGGCTCCTCCCACCCTCCTGGGAGCGGACAGGTGTCACATGTTTCTTCATTTGGCTCCCGGACATGAATATATGAATACTATAGTATACGAGTATTTGAAGCCTGAAGATAAATGGTACCGGAGCGCCTCCTGCCCCCGACCAGCACCATTGGACCTTCCAAGTTTCCTTCACCTATTCACATTAAAGGCGTACTCCAGATTTTACAAAACAAATAATAAAAGCACACACTTGCTGTCCAGCCATTGTACTTAAACGGCCAGACGGCTGCACGCTTCATGGCAGGTGAATGTTTATAAACAACTTATAAGAAGTTTGAACAATTTAAACAAGCAGCAATGGCTGTTATATACAATCTATAGAGCCGTCCAACTGCTTGTACAGTGTTGGGGAAGTGTGCGCCCCTCCGCCATCGCTTCAGGCGATCCCGGGCTGCACTGTCCTCCATGTGGGCCTGGGATTGGCACAGCGGCTCACTGTACCTCAATTGGAGGCAGATGAGCTTAATTCCAGCAGCTGATCCCCCCTCCAATCACTGAAAGCGGAAGCGATATGTATTGCATCACTTCTGGTTTCAAGCTGTAATTGTTCCGGCTGTTGTAGCCAGAGAAGAAACTGGTGAAGCAGATCTGTGCTTCACCTTCTTTGGGGTCCATTGGTGACCCCTGATGTCTCCATAAAGAGGACCTGCCACTATATATTTGTTATCAAATAAGGGGCTTGTTATCCCCCTATGTGATAGCAATAACATACCGTATGAACAAATTTTAAAAAGCACAAAAACTTATTTTAAAGTCTCCCGCCCTATCTACATGCACATACAAACGCAAACACACGTCAGGTGCGCCTACGAGCGAAAATGACCATTTCGACACACGTTACATATGAGTGTGAACGATGGAGTGCAAGCAATAATTTTAGGGCCATCAATTACTGTTAACTCTAAATTGATGAGCGATTAAAGCTTTTAAAGCGTCGCCTATGTCCAATTTTGGGTATGTTAGTATTTTGCTTGCATGCGCAATTTTAAGGCTTGCCATGTTTGGTATCTATTTACCCGCTGTGGCCCCATCTCTTATATTTTACCAAGAAATTGGGTAACAATAAATGTTTCACAACATAATGTAGGAGAAAAGTTTTTTGTTTTTTTTTACATGTTTGGGAAGAAAAAAATTCAAACCCCAGTGGTGATTAAATACCACCAAAAGACGGCTCTATCTGTCCCCAAACAAAGATGTAAAATTCATTTCTGTATGGCATTGCATGACGGAATAAATATCAAAGTACCTGCAGCGCAGAATACCGAAAAAAATGGCGCGCTTGTGCACATTTGTCTGCGTTTGCCACACGTCAGCCTATTCATTTCATTGGGCTGCTACACGCACATCACACGTTGCAATGAAGCTCATGCAGCATGCTCAGCTGTGAGCTTCACGCATATTTTTTACCACATGTTGTGCGTGTTTGGGGTCCCATTAACAAGTGATGGCACCGAACGCACGTTGTGTGAATGCACCAATGCACACAATTTGCCATGTGTTTACGCAACACCGAGGGGTGAACGGAGCCTAGAATGCTGGTCACAATGTAGAATTTGCAGTATCCCAATGAGTGTTCTGGATGTAACGCTGCAGACATATCCAAGCTCTTCTTCTCTTCTTTTTTTTAGTGCAGAAATGGCACTGTGAAAAATGGCACTGTGTTGTCAGCCCAACTAAGTTAGATGCACACCATATTTCTGGCAGACCAACATGTATTTTACTTTATTTGTAGTGTTTTTAAAGGAAGATCAAATTAAACAATTAGGCTGATTGGAACATTGCCGCATGTCTGACTGACCTCCGAGGTCTTTGGCCACTGGCCACCTTAAGGTATACTGAGAGAACAAATCACTAAAACTGAAACAAACACTCACACTTAGGGCCAATGCATGCGGGAATATGATTTTACGTGGGATCTCGCTTGCATGTAACACTTGTGCCGTCATATGCATAGGTTTAGTGCTTCTCTCCCAGCTATTCCTATCTGTGAGTGAAGATTGACTTCTCCCTCTTCCCCTATATTTGGAGGTTTATAGCAAATACCCACAAGAAGTTTACGGCTAGCGTCCATCATATCTAGCTCTAGCCATAGAGTTTCCACGTCTTCCCCATTATTTGACGCAATATCGCCCCTTATATGAACATTTAGATTATATTTAACGTAAATGCAAACACCCCCCCCCTTCTCCCACCTCTGTCCCTCCTAAACAGGTTATACCCCTCTATATTAGTAGCCGAGTCATGCGTGCTGTCCAGCCAGGTTTCTGCTATACCCACTTTGTCGAAGTCCTCTTCAAGTATCATTATTTCAAGCTCTTCTAATTTATTTGCCAGACTTCTAGCGTTGGTGTACATACATTTAATTCCTCTCTTTTTGTGGGACAAAAGTTTACTACCTTGTTTTTCCCCACTATTTTGATTGTTATTATTATTATGCCTTGATTTCGGTCGTCCGTTGGTAGTTATACTTACATGTGCCAATGGATTTCCTATATTGACTAAGAGTGAGCCCACTATTATTAACCACCTATTGGTTGCTAGGATGAGGGTGGCTGTTGCCACCTAGAACCCTTCATTGCTAGGACACAGACGGCTCTTGCAGGCTCTTCTTTGCTAGGATGCGCACAGCCCTTGCTAAGCTGCATAGCGTTCTTTGTTGCTAGGGCTCAGGCAGCTTGTGCCACCCAGCAACCTTCAACGCTGAGCTGCCTAGCAACCTTCACTGCTAGATTAAAGGTGGCCCCTGCCATGCAGCATCCTACATTGCTAGGATGCAGGCATCTCCAACAGAGTACATTTGCACTGTACGCATATAGAGATTTGTGCAAGCATTTACATGTGTACAGCGCAAAGTATGGTCAATCCTTTTTTTTTTTAGGGATATATCGTCCGCAAATGGCACTTTTGGCATAATGCCGAAAGTGCCATTTTCCTGCCGATACATCGGCGCATGCGTGCTTTCTTTCCTCCCCGCTGGGCGCTGCTCTGTGTCCAGGCGGGGAGGAGAGAAAGTGTGTCAGCCGGCCGAGCGCTGCGGGAGGAGAGCTCTGCGAGCGGCCGGCATCTCACCTCCTTCCCATAGGTAGGTAAGAATGTTGGGAGGGACCCCATTTAAATAAAAGGGAAAATAAAAAAAATGTTGGGTTTACCCCCAAAAGTCATACCAGACCCTTGAGGTCTGTTAAGAATTGTAGGAGGGACCCCATTAAAAGAAAAAGAAGTGTGTGGGGTTCCCCCTCAAAGTCATAAAAGGCCTTAAGGTCTGGTAGGAATTTTGAGGAACCCTACCCCCAATAATGGGGGGAAAAAACAGGGGGTCTCCCCTAAAGTTCCTAACCAGACCCTTGATCTGTGCACAGGCCTGGCAGGAAAGGTTTTTTGTAATAAAGGGGCACCCAGATGCCCCCCACCCCTTTGTAAATGAGTAAGGGGTACTTATAACCCTACCCATTCACTAAAGTTAAATCAAATTTTTAAAAAATACGCCAGACTTTTGAAAAAAAATCCTTTAATTGAAGGGAAAAAAAGGACATGTTTTTGACAAATCATTAATTAAAAAAAACCCTCAAAAATGGATCCACCGACGTAATCCTAAGGTCAATCACGATGTCCAGCGTTGTCTAGGATGACGACGACTCGATGAAATTAAAAAAAATAAAATAGAAATATATATTTTTTAAAAACCCTGATGCCCGCCGGCCTGTCCGCTCACGGCTGACGCCCGCCGCAAAACAAACTATTTGGCGGCGCTACCGGTGACATCACTGCTAGCTCTGCCCAACTGTTTACATTTGCCCGGCACCTGACAGGAGAGCTGTGTGAGCCATGATTGGGCAAAGTCATCATTACTTTGTCCAATCATGGCTTTCACAGGGCATTGTGCTGTGATTGGGTAAAGTCTTGCACCTGACCTGAGGTCAGGTGCATTGCTTTACCCAATCAGGGCTTCACAAGGCATAGTGCAGTGCGCAGTGCCTTGTGGGGCGCTTGGCGGGCGAACAGCAAACAACAAACTAGCGATGTTCGAGTTGAACTGTTCCTCGACTCGAACATCGAGACCATCCCTATCCACCAATGAGTATGTCTTACACAACCATTTTCTATGGTAATTTTTACAGTATACAACTGATATAATCTGCTGGTAAAATGGGACTCTTGGTTGGAAGACCGGTTCCATTCCAACCCATCCCTCCTGCTCTACTCCCTTCCCGTCTTATGTTTTACTCTGTTTCCAACCGCTCATCAGTAGGATCCTTAAATGCAGGAATGCCCTCCACTATTCTAGTGGTTTCTCTGTTAAGGGGACACTGCTAGAGCCACAGAGAAGGGTAGACCACTATGTGGCAAAATACTTTCCAAACAGGAAAATATGTAGTTAGCGTTTAGGGATGCCAAGGACATGTCAGGGTGCTTTCAATCCCTAAAAGAAGGTGCAATAGGAAGGTTCTTGCAGCTTTTGGAGCTCTAAAAGTTTGGAGATAGCAGGCTGATCTTCTGGTTTCAGAGTAGTGCACACTCCATCAATAGAAGCAGAATGGTCTAATTCAATTCTGATGTAATAGCAGAAGGTGGTCCCTTCCAGGCTAGCCTTCAACATCCAGTCCTGTGGGGCCCAGATGCAGCACTCCAAAAGCCAGGCCGAGGATGGCTGCACCAGACTGCTGCAATCGTAGAGAACAGCTCTAGGAGCATGTAGTGGAGGAACAAATGCTGGTAAAAAATAGTAGTCTCAACAGCAGAGCTGAATAAAAGACACCCACCCTCCTAGGACACCAGCAAAAGACAGAGGCATGCTGGTAGTGGGAGGGTTATCCTGGGCCGGTGT